GATAATATTAATTAAATGATTCAAATAATTTTAATTACTTACCAAATATGGTAAATAATTGGCAAGTGGTGAACCAAATCGAGCATTTATATAATTTTGATTACCTTTTTGTTTCTTGTTTAATTAATTATTTCAACAGTATTTTCCTGTACATTTTGAGCTGGTACAAGTTCTAAACACTCATCTCTTACACCAATTTTTTCACGTCGATAGGTAAAAATTTCTTGTAAATGAAATGGATTTCCCCAACCACGTACAAATGCTTGAGTTAATATAAAACATCGAAAGAGATTATCGAAATTCATCATTTCAATCATACTCGAATCTTTAATATCATCTAGAGAATTGTTGATCTGATTCTCTTTTTCTTTAATCGAACAAAAAACAGGACCATACAATGCTTTAGTATTCTCAATAGTTTATAAACACACACACATACAAAAAAAAACTCTTATGTGTTCTTTTTATTTTCCTAAATCAATCTCGTTAGTTTACTATGAAAACAAAAAACAATTTGTTATTGCATAGCACCGGTAATGTTAAGTAACATTTGAGAACCATGTAGTAAATAGACGATATTTCTTGATTTTGATAATTGATTTGTAATACCTTCAGCGGCTTCAATTCGTCGAAGTTCGATCAAACCTAACATGAATATTAAAACAAAGTAAGACAGGATAATAAAAGATATTCGAAAATTTACCATCACCAACTTCATCTAAAACTTTGCCAATCAAATCAGCTGCACGAGTATCACCTTCTGCTGCAATAACATTTGCTCGACGACTTTGTTCCGTCTGTTTTTTTTTATCAAAAAAAAACAAACTCATACAAATTTTATTCTTATTGATTTACTTTTTCGACTAAAAATCGTTGTTTTCCAACATCTTGTTGTGCAACTTGTTTTAATTCAACAGCACTTGTAAATTCAGGTCTAAAACTTAAATGTGTCTAATTTAAAGGAAAAAACTACATATAATCAACTCGAGTCTCTTTTTTGTTGTATCTTACAATTGAAATATCATCAAGTAATAAACCAAATTAAGCAGCATGTTCTGTTAATAATTCACTAACACGTTGAGAAATAAGTGTACGTTGTGTAATCAATTCAAAAGCATCAAATTGAGACTTAGTACAACAGATTTTAAAACTTCATTAATAATCGATGATAAAACATGTTCTTCATAATCTAAACCCAAATTTGCAAAAAAATTTTTGGTGAAAGTTCAGCTCTTGGTCGATAAAGAATACGTAATATTATATTAATTGTTTGTGAATCTAAAATAAAAATAATAAAATGTAATTTATGTATATTTCATTTATACGAAGAAAAAATAACCGAGACTTCTCGTTTTAAGTTTTATGAAGTATCTTAAGATTGTTGAATGATGAAAGTGTAGAGGTGTAAACCGATCAGTTGAGGCGCCATCGATGGCCGCAAAATTTTTTAAGATACCTCAGCCATATACATTCATTGATGTTTCAATAGACATCGTATTTACCTTCCTTTTTTCGCGAGCTTACATTTTCCCCATGTTCGCCTCTCTCCTGAAGTTGACTGTTCTCTTCTAGCTTTTATATCTTTTATTTCTGTTATTGATGGAACAGATCGTGGTCGTGTACGAATATCAAATATAATTGGTCTATGAAGCCATGAAATCATAAAATGAGTTCCTTCTTCAATAACATCTAGTTTAACACCTTGAAAATGATCAAAAATAACATCTCGATGACCATCATCAACTAGAATATATTCAAATTTAAAGAAAACAAGTTTTTTTTAAAATCTTTTCATATTAACTATTATAAAGCATACAATTAATCACACCACCAACAATAGCTAAACCAATATCAATTCTTCCTAAAACGCTAAATTCTTCTATCGAAATAACATATTATTAAATAAACGAGATGAAGCCATAGTCTTTTTTTTCTTCTAAAAGAAAAACATGCATAATTATAATCAAATTAAATTTGTTTAGTTGTTTTGTTTTTATCAGCAAATAGTTTCAAAAAAAAAAACGAAACCATATGAAAATTCTTCATATCTCTATCGACAGAAAAAGAAAATGTATCACTATTTAATCTATCTATGTACTACAATAACAAACCAATGTAATAAAATACATAGAAAATGATTAAATAACAATAAACTTTGAAAGCAAAAAAAAAATACATGCATACTTTTACATAAATCGAAATCCATTTGAAAAAGTATGAGCACCGTTCAGATATTGTTCACCATTGGGTTTTAATGAATTTGATGCATCACTGTTCTTTGCTACTGCAGCAGCAATTGCTTCGAATGCTGGAACAGTTTATAAAGAAATTATTTATATCATACAAAAACAAAATTTTTTCAATTACTATAATTTGATTTTGTTGGAAAAAATTGTTGTGGAAATGATGCGCCATCAACACGAAAATCTTCAAGATTTTTATATTTTTTTAAAATTTCTTCAAGTTTTGAATTGATTTTTGGTTTTTCTCGAGAATATTTTAAAAATGCCCAGAATTTTTCTAAATCACATAATTGACCTAAATAGAAAAATTATTTTTGCTATTGACACTTTTCTTTTTTTTTGTGTAATCTATTTTATTACCAGCTTCATGATCACAAAGAGTTTCTTGTTGAAAATCTGCAAATACATGTTGACGAAAATGTTTTTCTACGCCATATGTATAAAATCGAAATAGATATTCAACACCATATCTATACATAAATAATAATATTCAATTTTTTTCTTATTATTTTTCGTACATATGACGATTGAAATTTTCACATAAGAAAAATGACTAAAAACGATAGAGTGTATTCATTTCCATTGATTGACCAGGAACAAGTTTAACGCGTTCTAGAAATTAGATCATTACAGAAAACAAAATGTATTTTATTTGTAAATCAACATAACTTTAGATTATAAATATTTTCTATGAAATAATAAAGTTTGGCGATTAGTGAAACTTAGTGTTTTTAATCATTGACGATTATTTTATTGCTTTTCAAATTTATCATGTAGATAAGAATGATAGTATTTATTAAAAAAACTCCATAAAAGAGTAAAATCTTTGTTTTTTTTTTGAAAATTATAGCAACAGACATATTCTCTATTAGTTATATAAATAAGAATATAAGTATTTTTAGACTCTGATTTTTACCGGAGAGTAATTTTCATTGTTGTTTCTAGATATGTTGACTCTTCTTTAGTCATTAAAAGGCTCGTCTTTTATACGTTCAATGCAACATAATTTCAATTTTTTTTTACCAGTAGCTTGTTTCTCTCGAAATATTGTAAATATGTACTGAACTAAAAATCTTTTTTTTCTCTACAATCAACGTTTTTTTTTACCATAAAGACATTCTTGTTTATATTTAAGATAAACTTGTTGAGTAAAACCATTTTGTTGTAAAAGTGTATGAGATGGATGTTGAAATTGAGGAATTTCCACCAGTGTTGAACCATAAATATCATATGAATTTGAATTATTTTCATGCCAATATGTGAATCATTGTATGATGATGAATATTGATCATAGAAATCTTGTTGTCGAGTTCTAAATAAGTAAAACTCATTTTATACTAATAATAATTGACATTCAATTGTTTGTATTAGTAACAAAAAATATAAGGAAATTCGTCAAAAAAAAATAAAGCAACACAAGTTATTTTTTACTATGTCCATTTACCTTACCCATATTGAACGATAAGAAAAATGATCTTATTAACTGTAATAAGTAAAATGACAGCAAAACATTTAGAAACGCAATGTTTTTAGCTTCTTTTCTTAACGATAATAACTACTATTCATTTCAAAATAAGGTGTGCTCCGTTGTGTTTTAAATAACTTTTGATAGGAATATCACAGAGACCTGCAGTTTCCACCATTCAAGGGAGAAGGCCCGAAGCCATCGAAATATATCAGAATTTCATTGCCTAATTGGATAAGTTCTTAGCGAGAATTTTGGAAGGTTCTGGATCTTCTCTCTTGAACGGTGAAAGCCGAAGATCTCTATGATGTTCCTATCAAAAGTTATTCAAAAAAAAACAATGGAGCACATTATATTTTGAAATGAGAAGTAGAACAAATCAAAGAATCATAAAAACATTTTTTTTTAAATTGGCATCAGCTGTTTCTAATTTTCGTTGAGCTTTTTCATAATTATCTCTTAGTTCAGTCATTGTTTGACGAACAGTTGACTTATATTAAAAATGAATCAATAAATAAGCAAATACTTGTTTATCTCTAGCTTGTTCAATAATTTTTTAAAATTGTTCAAGCCATCCTTTTCATTTTGAATCAATAAAGTCATGTATTTGAATTAAATCATCAACTGTTTGATTTAAAATCGATAAAGTACCGATTGTTCTATATGGAGAACGATAACAACGTGCAACATCAATCAAACGAAATTCTTTCAATGATTTTGATACATCCTTATCAATACTTTTATTTAACTTACAAAATCTTTATCTGTTTTCCAAAGATCAGACAATACTTTACAAGAATCTGGAACATAACGAACTCGATTGTATTAATCAGGTACATCATCACATCTATATTAATAAATATAAAGAAACAAAATATTTTCATTTTTTATTTTCGAATTTTGTTTGTTTAACCATATCGATAAATATCCTATTCGAATAAATTTATTTTCAAAACGTTTTTATAAGGATCGATTAAATTTATTTCCTTAGAAATTTTTAATCGATAATTCGAACTATTTTATCATTATTTCATCTTATAGAACGTTTCTATCTAGCAGTTAAAAACAGATTTTCGATAAAACACATTCGAATCAGATGAAATATTAATCATTTGTTAGCGATCGTTCAGTGGAGAGAAATAAATTGAGTCAAAACTGTTCAGGTCAATATAATGTTTCTAGAATAGATTATTAAAATAATAAATAATCTTCGTTGTCAATCTTTATATATAATAAGATAATCAATATAGATTCATCTAGAAATCGATTTATATAATAAATAACGAATTTTGGACCAAATGCAAGGAGATAGTTAACTATTTAAATTAGCTTTGAAAAAACAATAATAAAGATTTAATATGAAAGTTTGGTTTTTTTAATTCTACGAATATGAAAACCATTCTTTCAATCCATTTAAATAATATAAAACGTTTGGTTAAATTCGAAAAATACTTGTTAACAATTTGAATACTCTTCAAAACAAATGATATTTTATTTCTAAATAAAGGTTTTTTTTAATGAAAAACGATAATATATAATTATTATCTTATCTCGACAATAATAACATAAAATAATTTCATTATAAAACTATAGAAAGATTTTTAACAAGAAAACACCAACAAAGGGTTAACTCAATTAAATTAAAATAAATAAATTGAATAAAATCTTATTTCTATCAATATTAGTCTAACCATTGAAATGATTTATTATATTAATATAAGATTTCATTATTTATTTAAGAGTTTGATTTATTTCAATAAATATCTTCCGTTCGTGTAATATATGTTAAATCAATCGAGTTATTTCGATTTCCATTGAAACTAATTCTTTGAATATATTATATCTTTCGAATATAATTTATCAGTTTTTATTTCCCCTCATTTCAATATTAAAAAACTATTTTATTAAATCGAAATAAATCAAACATAAATAAAGATAATAAAAGAGATTTATTTTTATTTTTGAATCTCTAATATAAATAAATCTATTAATATTATAATATAATCATATTCAATAGAATTACAATTATAATAACAAAAACAAGAGAAACATCTTATTATATAAATCGATTATTTAAAATGTTAATTAAAATAAATATATATATATATTGAAAAAAAATTTATATAGAATAAGTTGTTGTCTTTTTATTTAAATTAAAAAATGAAAATCTCATCCAAGGATACGCTGCAAGACTTGATCGTCTTGATCGTTGTTCGGAATTTAATCGATTGTCATCAGATAAATAATTCTCATTTACTAATCTCGCAATAAAAGAATTCATTCTATTAAATGATGTCATACGCACTCTTTTTTTTCAATATAATAATTATATAACGAAACGACGAAAAAGAACAGAGAACCCTTCGATAATCAATTCTTTACCAAATATTCGAATATAATATAAACAAATCATTTTCTAATAGAGATATTTTATTTCTAACAGTTAACTATTTATAAAGATAACCTTTTACTTTTTTAAACAATTAACCATTTACATTGAAATAAAATCTTCTATTTTACATCGAATTATCTTTTAGTTTCATTGAGAAATTTTTTTTCGATTAAAATATTCTAATAAGATATAATATATGTAAAATCTCGTTTCGATCTTCAAAGATGAGACAACTATCAATCTCGACATTTTTTGATTAGGATTCAATATTATTCTATAGTCACAATTTTATCTCGAAAATAAAATAAAATCAGTTTACCCGATTTTCAATAAGTATGGATTCCTTATTCAGTATTAAAATTTATATCTATTTGTTTGTTTTATTTCGCTTTAGACAATTGAACAATTTTCTGCTGAAACAAATCGAACAACATTTAGTATTACTTGATAAAATAATCGAAATTGAATTATGATAAGCACAAAATCGTTTTCAATCACGACGACAAACACTAAAGTTATCATGAATTCTTCGTTTTGTTTTTTATTGCTGTTTGATTAATTCTATGATAATATTAACAAAATACAACGCATTCTTCCCTTTTCTTTGAAAGAGATCGAGATAGAGAAAATTGATATTAATGTATATAAAGATAAAAAAAGTGAATTTAATTTAGGTTTTTTTTTTCTCTTAATCATGAAGTTGGTAAAGTCAATGCAACACCATGTTTTATTTAACGTTATTTCAATTGATTTGTTGATAAATAAATAGGCATAACAAAATTTGTTGAATGACTCGTTGTTGAAAGTATGTCACGTCGTTCACTTGTTTTATATACTGAACATTTATATGTCCCATCGGTATTTAATTCATTTGTTTTTATGTGTCATATATA